ACACAATTAATATGAAAATAATGCACAGTTAAAATATGTTCACTCAAATGAAAATATGAAGCTAATCGAATTTCAAGAAGTTCTGAAATTTTCTAGAACCACAGGGAACTAAAAAACAATCAGCCACAACAAATAGTTTAAAAAGGACATCAAAGCCAAAATTTCTTTGGGACTATGCTTCTTAACTTCTGTGATAAAACAATCTAATGAGGCATGGGCAATAGAAAAAGTAATTAGCTGATCTTTTTGAACACAATAATGTGGTGTAAGCTTACTACTTCCTCTTCCTCCTTATTTAATGGTCTAGACACTAATCTATCATGTAATTCTGTATATAACTTCGCATTTTCATCGTAAAACTCTCTAAATGGTGTATTCTTTACAAGTTCCAAGCCTCTCTGTTGAGCTTTACTGACTAATGTTTTCATATCCACTAAATATTCAACACAGTCATTAACTGAATCTAAAAGTGTATAATAGTATGCATTTCCATATATCTTTTCACTATCTCTGTCTTTAAATCTAATAGAGTAAAATCTATTTGATAAGTTATCTTCTTTTGCTCTTTTGAGAATTTCTTCTTTGCAGGGAATGGTGATTAATACATGACCATTCTTTACTAAATGCTTTTCAATGTTGTCTAAGGTTACATGAACATATTCTTCTTTTGCAAAGCAGTAATGAAAGCTAAACTGTATTGAAACTATATCAAACTTCTTTCTCAGGTCAAACCTAGTTGTAAAACAATCTTTGACCTTGAGTACCAATTTAAAATCAATATGCGATTCCCTTGCCCTGCTTAATGCATCCAATATTGATCTATTGGCTATATCAAGTCCATAGACCTCTTTTACTTTCGCTATCTGATACTTTATAAAATCACCACCTTTGCCTACACCGATATCGAGAACACTATCGCAGGGCTTTACGTAGGATTTTATTATACACGACTTTATAAAATTATTTGCATTTCTAATGTTTATGTTCCTCGTGTGTCTTCTTTCTTGTCTGCTTTTATTTGGGATTTGATTGTAGTGTCTCTTTATTGACTCCTTGTCGTCCATGGCCTTACTTTTTTACAATAATAAAATGGTCGCATGATTGAGGAGTTTTAGATAGAAAACTTATTATGCAAAAATTAGAGTTTTGATATGAACCATCTCCTTTATACTTGGGCTTTTAATCCTCTATTTTGTTACCTCTTTGTTTAAATCTAAAAAATTTTTTCAAATTTTTATCCCCAATGAGAGGTCTCTGTGCTGCTGGAGTTCTTAGAAGAAAAAATCAGATAAAGAGAAGACATGACCTTGCTTATAGAAAGCGTTTGCTTGGAAAGAGATTTAAGACTGTTATTGCTGGAAAACCGCAGGCCAAGGGTATTGTTTTGAAGAAGGTTGGTATTGAAGCCAAACAGCCAAATTCAGCCGTACGTAAAGTGTGCAAAGTTCAAATTATAGCAACAGGAAAAACTCTTTTAGCCTTTGCGCCAGGAGACGGTGCTTTTAATGTTATACAAGAAAATGATGAAGTTGATGTAGGAGGTCTTGGTAAAAAAGGCAGAGCAGTGGGAGATATGCCAGGTATTAAGTATGAAATCATCAAAGTAGCAGGAGTCTCACTTGATGCCATACTTTCAGGTAAAAAGGAAAAGCCTACTAAATAATTAAAGTTATTTGATATAAAAGTCAAAAACACCTTGTTCTATAGATTTAACGATTCGTAGGATTCTTATTTAGTAATAATAATTCTATTGTTGGTTTTATTTTCGTACCCTTCAATGCCACACATAGCTACGGTAATCTTTGACAACACATTAAATTCCCAAAACCAAGACTATCTTCCAAGTAGATACGTCTTACAAAAAGAAGTGATCGACACATTGATAACTAACACGTTTGAAAGCGATGCACAAAGTCTTATTGGCCTAATTCCTATCGCTCAAATGGATAACAATGATATTCTAACACCAACGCTGGTTAGATCTTATCTATCCACATTTTTACACCAAAGAGACTTGTATCACACTTTAAACCATAATCTTGCACTTTATCAGGCTGAGCAATCTTTAGAAAGTTCAGAGTTTTCAGAAAAAATAGTTTTTATGATTTTTGGATCTCCAATACCAGATTCTGATCAATTTATGGTTAATATTTATGGTTTGGCTACAAAAGGATTCACAATAAGAGTAGTCTGCTTTGCTGATGCATACGAATTCGGCACATATTTGCGCCAAGGATCTAGCTTTGATAACTTAAATGTATTGACTATTCATCCAGATGAAGATTTTAGCTCCAAGGTTTTAGATTTTTTTGCAGATGCTTCTGGCCATCATTATGTAGATCAGGACCTGGAAGAGGCTATTAGAAGATCAATGGTTGAAAAATAAATTTAAAGTTTTCATTAAAGATTATTGGGATTGTCCTATCCTTGAAAACAAATCTTAATGTATGCCAGCGCACTGTTTCAGTTACACTTGCTGCTTATTCAAATTGCTGATATTTGTTGTCAAGCAAAATTTTTTTACACATGGGGTTTGAAGAAATAAAGTTGAACGAAAAGATTATCGAAAAATTGAAGAATAGAGGAATAGCCGAACCGACTGAAATACAGAGAAGAACATTTCCATCGGCTGCAAATGGACACGATCTAATTGGTATTTCACAAACTGGTTCTGGCAAAACTTTTGCATTTCTTTTACCAATAGTTCAACAGATACTCTTATCAGACAAACCATTTCATGCTCTCATTTTGGTGCCAACACGAGAACTTGCACAACAGATATTTGACATACTCAGTATTTTTGACGGATTGAACATTAGGCAAGCTCTTCTTTCCGGTGGCGACAATTTCAATGAACAGACAAATGCACTAAATAAGAAGCCACATATCGTAATTGGAACACCAGGAAGAGTGGCTAAACATATAGAGAAGACTAAAAATTTTCATATTGAAAGGATTAGAAAGTTGATATTTGATGAAGCTGATCGCTTTTTTGAACAAGATTTTGTTCAAGATCTTGAAATAATATCAAAAAAACTCATAAAGAAAAACCAAACTTTAATGTTTACGGCTACACTAACAGACAGATGTAAAGATCTTGCCAATATTTTTATGAGATCGCCCAGAATATACTCTATTTCTGAAAATCTTGTTCAAATTCCTACGCTTTTGGACAGCTTTGCATTCATTCCTGAAAAATATAAGCTCGTTGTACTATACAACCATCTTCAGGAATATAAGCACAGCTCTGTTATTGTTTTTGTAGGTCTCTGCTCTACTTCTCAAAAGGTTGGGCTCACTTTAGCAAAACTAGGACTACCTTGTGAGTATCTTCATGGAAAACTTGTGCAATCAAAGAGAATGAATACAGTTAAAAGATTTAGAAACAAAGAGTTCAGTATTTTGATTTCAACAGATGTGGCTAGTCGAGGGCTGGATATTCCACATGTTGAGCTTGTCATTAATTTTGATTTGCCTGACAATTCAAAGATTTATACACACAGAATAGGTAGACAGCCAGAGCAGGCAAAGAAGGTCTTGCATTTTCTTTAGTGACTCAATATGATGTTGAGAAATTACAAAGGATTGAACACGAATTAAAAAGAAAAATCAACAATATTGAATATAAAGTATATTCTAACTATGATCAAGTCAAGGAAGCTTATGACGATGCAAATGTAGAGTTTAACCTTGATAAATCATTTAAAAAATGACATATATTCAAGAAATGCCCATTTTATTCTATCATTTTATAGAAAGTAATGAAGTTTTGGCTGAAAAAAATTGAATAAACAAAGAGCGAGGCATATTCAAACAATATTAAAAAACAAAAATTTTCGAGGTGTTAGCCTGCTTTAGCTGCACATTTGGTTCCGATTGGCGAGTTTTATATTTTATCTTTTAATTAGGAGCGAGTTTAAAGGATGGTAATAAATGCAACAACAAATTGAATCTGCCTAATGTTAGAGTATTTTTATAGTTAATATTAACTTTGAAACATTAAAAATATGATGAAACGTAATAAAAACATAAAGAAAAGTCAGGGACCAAATCTATGGCTAACAACCAAGACCAAGAGATTAGAGAAGATAAAAAGAAAAAAGATTCTGAAGACAATAAAGTAAATGAAGACAATGACCAGAAGAAAAATGAGAGTAAGAATGAGACATCTAAATCAGGCAGTAGCAAATCAAATTCAAAATCGAGCAAATCAGATAATAAAAATGCCACTGATAAGGCTCCAGAGAATGTCAAAAACAAATCATTAGCACAGGAAATTCAGGAGGCTGCCAAGGATAAATCAGAGCATGAAGACTCTGAAAATGAAGATCTTACGTTTTTTACTCGTAAGAAACAGGAGAAAGATTATTCAATATGGAGCATTGATGAATGGATGCATGATTACCTTGGCGACTGGAATTCTACACTTGTGTACATGTTTGAAATTATTGTAGTTTCCACTATATTGTTGCTTCCATCTGTGTTTTGGCTCATTAAAGAATGGCGTAATATCAACTTTAGGTCATACTTCAGCAATCCCGGCGCAATTAAGGCAGACAATGAGGGTTTATTTAGGGTTGCTCTCTTTACTATATTGTGGTATACGTTTGATATTTTCATCACTCTCTTCAGCGAAAATTTTCTTTTGATCATGGCTATAATTTTGCATACATTTCAGCTAAGTGAGTCAGAATTCTGTTGGTGCATGGTAGATGTCCTTTATACCTCTCGTGGCTACTTCAGAATGTCTGCAGACTGTCTTTTCATTTTTTATCTTTCTGTTATTATGTTTGAAAAATATTCCAAACCTAAAAATTTTAATATTTTTAATCCATTAGTGATAAAGACCTTAATTCTATGGCTTGGAATTTATACGGGCATGCTCTTTGTTATGAAGTTTGTGGTAAATATTTTCATATACGATGTTAGAAGATCTTCATATAAAGAGGCTATATTGGATTTAAATCGCAAAATCTTTCTATTTAGGAAACTAAAGGCTATAAGCGAAGCTCACAGCCAAAGTGAAAAAAAAGATATTGCTGAAAACATGGTGCCAACATACGATCCCGGATTCTATCTCAAGGATAAAGACTTGTTTACATCAAGAGAGGATGCTATGATTGTAGTTCAAAACATCATGGCTCTTCTTAAGAAAAAGAAACTCGCTTATCAAGATATCAAACAATACTATCCAAACGAGTATGATGTTGTATTTAAGTATTTTACTAGTTCAGACACTGTTGAAGACAATCAGGTAGTTCATGTCAAAGTTCTCAAAGAAATTGCAAAAGACTTGTATATCAAACGAAAGGATATGGGAAGAACCTTAAATGATCGAGACAGCATCTTTGAAAAGCTAGAAGTAATATTTTTTCTAATAGTTTCATATATTGCTGCCATAATTCTATGCATTCTCTTTGAGATTGACTATAAATTTTATCTTTTTGGTTTCGGAACCTCATTGCTGACATTTTCCTGGGTATTTGCTGATACAATCAAAAAGATTTTCAATTGCTTTGTGTTTGTACTAGTATTAAGACCATATGTAATTGGAGATAAAGTGAAGATAAACGATGAAGAATATGTTGTGGTAAAGATTGATTTGCTCACAACCACGTTCCTTAATAAGACAAAAACGATCGTCTATTTGCCAAATGATGTATTAATGGTTACGAAGATCTACAATACATCCAGAAGTCCACCTCAATGTATGGTTGTTGAGTTGACAGTTGAAAATACGACATATGATCAGGTTAAAAAGCTTGAGGAACTGGTTAAAGATGAGGTTGAGAAGGCAGCAAAGCATTTTACAGATGCAGAGCTAATTGGAAAATCAGTAGATAAAGCAGTTTTTTCAGTAAGTGTTGTGCAGAACTTCCAGAATACAAGTCTTACGAAGCTAAGACAAGATAAATTGATCAAAATATTTGAATCTTCAATGAAGTCAGCGAATATTACACACAAAAATTCTTTTGTATTTACAATGTCGTAGTAAACAGTCTCACCTATGCAGTTAATAACGAAATATTGGCGAATGGAATGCTATTGTACTAATAAATTAAATACCCATTCACATATTTATTTTTGGATTAATTGGTGTTTTCAAACAGGAAAATTTATATTTCTTAGATCTTTCTAAAATTTGCTGTTTTGAACTTGTAAAATTTTCACCCCAATGAGAGCCAAGTGGAAGAAAAAGAGAATGAGACAAAGAAAGGCCGATAGAAAGAGAATGAGGCAGAGAAATAAGTAAGCATTAAATTGTTTTCTAAGTTATCTTTTTTTTGTTTTGAATACCCATGGAGTTTGGCGATCACTGGATTCCGGAGGAGCATATTATTAAAAAGACCAAGTACTGTTTTGTTTTTGTAAATATACGACCATTCCTACCATATCATCTCCTTGTATCTCCAATACGAAAAGAAGGTAGATTAAATGGACTTAGTTCTGAGGAATATATCGATTTAATGTCTTTGTTAAAGCTGACAACAACTTCACTTGACAGCTTAGGAACATCCTGGACCGTCATCTTGCAGGACGGTGAGGATGCGGGCCAAACAGTCCAGCATGTCCACTTTCATGTTATTCCCAGAACCAAAGGTGATCTTTCTAGGAACAATGACATTTACAATAAAATTAATGTGGATGTAAAAAGGCCCGACCGCAACTTTGAAGAAATGAAAGAAGAAGCCAACTTTTTGAGAAGCTTCTTTAAAGAAAATACAACAATTTAACAACAATAAACACTTTATTTAAAAATTTATTTTGGGAAATTGTAGTTTAGTGTTCTATCAAATACTTGAAGTTCAATACTGATGTACTCTCGAACGGCTTATGCAATTAGTACATCATATTTTTGTTTAAATGATGACCGCTCAAGTCAGTTTCAAGTTAAAATAACGCTTATCTTAGTATCAACGGTTAATTATAAATAAGCTGCGGTAAATTTCTTATCAAATGCACTATGTAGTGTGAAATGAGCCGTAATGGTGATTGTTTTATAATATCAGTCATTTCTTCTTCAAAAAATGAACTGTGTTGTAGCTTGTAAATATGTTTCCGTAGCCATCTTTTCCTTCCCCACAACAATCAGACGTGTACAATAGATTCAAGTTTGGGGATGCTTTAATGTCATATTCCGGTAATTTTATAATAAAAGGTGGTTCGTATTCTTTATTTTCTAGCTTTACCCAATCAATCTCTGCAAAAAAACTATGTTTCATAATTGCATCTTCTAAGGCCTTACAGGTAGGGTATTTTGTCATCAAATTTCTATCTATAAGCATGTGTAGTATGCTATGTGTATCTTCACTTACTACTTCCTGAATGACCAGCTTGCATCTTTTAATTTCTGCCATTGTTAGATCCATTGACTCGCATAAGAAGGGTGTATAGCCGTGTATCATCTGATAGATCACTATTCCAAGAGACCAATAGTCGCTCATATATCCAAACCTATTGTTTTCCAAGTAATCTGGTGAAAGATACTCAAGATCATCCAATACGCCGTTGTTGCTACATTCAATACAGTTACAGAAACTGTAACCTAATTTGATATGCCCCCCAGTAGATAGAAAAATATTTTTAGAAGATAAAAAAGTATAATTTTGTCCTTTAGAATGCAAGTATTTCAGACATAGAAACATTTCTGCAGCGTAAAATTTTGTAATTTCACAGGAAAATTTTTTGGGAAGAATGTTTGATTTCAAAAGAAGAGTTGGGGCATATTCAGTTATGTAATAAAGATTATCGTAGTCTTGAAAGGCACATACTTGGTTTATAAGAAACGGATGCCTTATTTCGCTTCTAATCATTAGCTCAAACATTACCATGTCTTCATCTGTTTTATTTTGTATTATTAACATCTTCTTCATTACTCTAAGTGTAAATTTTGGTGGTTTTGTAGATTCCAAACTGACACATACGAGATATTCTTCAAAAAATGGTCCCTTTTTTGAGGAATTTCAAGCAGATTATATCTGATTTCACAAACATTGAGGGCTATTTTTTTAATTGGAAATTTAAATAATATACTCTTGAAGGTTAATTTTGAATATTTATGAAACCCCATAGATAAAATGCAGAATGTTTGTTTAAGGGCATAGCCATTTTCAAGCTGCGGTTATTGAAGATGATGCTATTTTCAGTGCGCATTTATCTACAGAAATTAAAATACAAAGGAGAATTGATGGGTGTCATCGTTTAGTTTTAATAAAAGATCAACGACAAAGTTCAAGCTTCTGCTTGGCCAGTATGAGAGTGCAGTCTTTTATAAACATGCTTTTAATACGTTTTTATTAGCTTTATTTAATAAATTCTAACGATATTTCTAATAAACACTATTAATTTGTCTAATATATTTAGCTTATCTGAAATGCCCTGAATCCTCACAGGATCATGTTTTTTAGCACACTAAAAATGAAAGTTCTATAGCTTTTTTGCCCATTATTAACCGTCTTCTTAATCTTAGCTTTCATGTTTTTGTACTCTTCTATTTTCCTTGAGTTAATTTCTTTTACTTTGTTCTCAAAGCTACCAAACGACAGTAGATTCCTCTGGTTAAATAGTTTTCTTTGAATCGTTTTAAACGTTTCAATAAAATCACAGTTTTTGTAAGACTGTAGCATGCTTCTAACATCCTTGAGATTCATATAATGCACGTTTATAAAGAAATGCATCAAGTCGAGTAAGCTTGAATCAAAATTTCCAGTATATTTTGGAAGCTTGATTAAATTTTGGTCAAAATCGCGATGAAATTCGTTGTGCGATGATGAAACTACCATTAATTTGGATAAGCTGCGATTAAAATGCCTCGAGTCGAGCATTTTCTTATCTCTTAGGAATATGCGGTATGATATACAACTCAGTGGATCCAAAGATTCTATAATATTATGGCCTATGGAAGGTAGTCTGTCAGAAACACATATAATTTCATAATAATATGCAATATTAAACAGAAACTCTTCACAAAAGGCTCTTTTGTAAGTGAGATAGTCAAATCTAGCAAGGGAGAACTTGTCACAGCTCAAAAAATTATTAAAATCGAACAGTATTACAGGCTTTTCTTTCTTTTGAGACTCAAGGAATGGCACGCTTTCATCTTCAAATACGCTGAGCTTTATAAAGGAAATTGGATTGAACAGGATATTTCTGTAAGATTTGCTACTTAAAAGAAAAGCAAGCCCACTAGCAATAGAAACGGAGAGCACGGGGAATCTTTTTGAATAGTCCGAGACTTTGAATTTTTCTTTTAAAATTTCAAACATTTCAGGGCAAAAGACCAAATTGTTATAAAGAAGATTGGGGCGGTTGTATTTTATTTTGATTAAGCAACCTTATTTTCGAAATAAGTCGTCTTTATTACCATTTGTTTAATTAAATACATTTGTCTTTTCACGACTCAACAACAGTACTTTATAAGGATGATCCATATTTTATGCATGCCTTGGTATTGCACGCTGTACCTAAAAGAAGATACAGCTGTTGATGTAAGCTGCTATTATTCTAAGGAGTGTACAGATGATTATAGAAGATGGATCTGCAAAAGACACAGTGAGAACGACAACTACGACTCTAGTTCATATTTGTTTTCAACTACTAACTATTCAGTAAAGAATGAAATATTACCAGAGCTATTCAAGAAGTATATTAGTATGAGTAATTCAAACTACAATAATATAATTGTTTCTTTTATTTGTAACTTAAGAGAAATAACCAGCCTATTAGTCCAATATGTCCACAGCGGTAATTCTAGCTATTTTTTTATATCCAATCCTGAATTTTCAGAGGCACTGGCCAAAAATACAAATCTTGAATCGGCTGTTTGCTTATGCTATAGTTTTGGAAATAAAAATTCATCATCAGTTCTTATTTCGTATTTAGAAATTAACGGAGTGGTGGTTGAGCATGCCCCTAGTGATAAATATACTGGTATTTATAATACTATAGAGCCATTTGATAACTACAACTGGGATGTTGCATATGGCCGTTCAACCAGTATTGTTGACAATAAGCAACATCTTCTTATTTACGGAATCCAGTCTTCGCTTTTTCATTCCATCAACCAAACAGCCACCAACCTTGGAAAACGTAAACTACTCAGAAGAATTACTGATCCACCAGATCATAGTTGGATTCAAACATCCTTAAATTTCATTCAAAAATTTCGAAACAATCCTATTATTCAAAAAGTGTCCGAACTATTAAAGAAAATCAATGCTTTTGATATTAAAGCCACAGAGAGAATCAATGACATTGAACTGGGAACATCCTTTCTAATGGATCAGTCAACCAATGATTCAAAGAGTATTTATAGCAGAAACAATCTAGAGGAGAGTTCTATTCTAAAGTACAAAAAAATAGTTAAAAACGTAGAAAACATCAAAAATAACATGGAAATATTCAATGTTCTCAAGAAAGAAATAGAAAAGACAAATACTGAAGAAGGCATTTTTGGTGATTTGATCGAAGCCCTGTCTGAAACGTCTACAATTGAACGAATTGATACACAGTTTAGCGTTATAAACTGTAAGGCAGAGTGTGTTTATCCTTTTCTAGCCGATAGAATTGGGTTTGTTGTCAAATCAGGCGTAGACTCATATCTTGACTTGTGTAGAGGCATGTACGAGGAAAAACTGTTGATGTGTCAAGACGTTCTGAATAAGATTCAATCGGTATACGACCTTGAAATTTATTTTGGAGATGACAGGGAAATTTGTTTAATGAAAACCAATTCGCATGAAAGAAATGAAGCTAAAATGAAGAGAAATGCGACAGTTGAGCATAAAAGTTCGTATAGAAGCAGTAGTACAATGTTGGACAAAGTTGGTACGTTCCAAAATAGGCCATCAAAGAAAAAACGAAGAATAAATTCAAGCAAGGCCATAAAGCTCTTTGTACTGAAAGAGTCTAAAACAATGATACTATACAGCTGCCCTGAGCTCAAGGCTCTTAACAAGCTAATCAGAGAGCTTTTAGATCAAATAATTGAAATAGAAGGTAGATTTGCAAGTCTATTCTACTTAAAATCCAACAGTATGGTATATTTTTTACAAGAATTTGTAGTTTAATATCTGAACTTGACACTTTGATCAGCAATTCAATGTTTTCCAAGGAAATTCAATTTAAAAGGCCAAGAATCGAAAACAAAGTGTCCATTCACAATGTCTCACACGTTCTATTTCCTGAATTTCAAAGAAGTTCATACTTGTTTGAAAACAATGAAGTTTATGTAATAACGGGCGCAAATATGGCAGGGAAGTCTTGCTATTTAAGAAACTTGTTTCACATAGCTATTTTATCAAAGATTGGGTGTTTTATTGACTGTGACAGTGCTGAAGTTCCAGCTTTTGATGAAATGTACTTTATTAACAGTATTGAGGATGTCAACATTCTAACACAGAAGATATTAAAAAAGACGGTTAGCATAGAAGAAAACTACAAAACACCAGAAAGACTGGTTTTAATCGATGAACTTCATTGCTGTTCAAAAATACAGTTGAACTTACTGCTTCTTCTTAAGAATAGTAGGATTCTGACTCTTTTTGTAACTCATCGAACTGAATTAATCGATAAATTAAAAGACAGGAATTTTAAAATATTTTCGTATGAGAACTTTCAGTTAAAAGAGGGAGTTAATAATCAATCAAATGTACTAAAAATATGTGAAAGACATTTTCCTGAAATACTGCAGCCTCCCGTGAAAAGAATGCACTTTTATTAAGCATTTATAAACAACTTGCTTATCTAAAGTTATCCTTTACATTGTAGCTACTATTAAGTAAAGGCTAATTTTATTTATTTAGTTATCCACGTAGTCTCCATACTTTTGTTTGCTCAACAACAAATGTATAAGCATAGTAACTAATGTGTAAGCAGTCGTCCATCCATTTTCCAGTCTCTTTGTTAGTCTTTTTAGTTCCTAGCCCATGGGAATAAATGAACAAATTTACAACACTTTCAATGATGAAGGAAGACTACTTCAGTTAGAATACGGCATGGAGGCGCTCTACAGCAGTTACCAAACAGTAAGTATTCTTTCAAATTCTGAAATCATCTTTGTTTCTAAAAAAGTACCTCAACAGCCTTTGCAAGCAGAGTCTCATAATTCAATCTACAAAATTGGAAATGGGTTATATGTGAATATAACAGGATTGCCTGCTGATATAGACTATATTGTCAATAGAGCTAGAACTCTTGCTGCTTCTACAGAGTATACTCTAGGATGCAAAGTCACTCCAGATATCTTTGCAACCATACTGGCAGAGAAACTTCAGGAAAACATTCAAACGACGAAAAAAAGATCACCGTCTTTTGCCCTCACAATCGGTGGGTTTGAGAAGGATACACCAATGTTATACTACTCCGACATGAGTGCGGTGCAATATCCATGTTTTGCATCAGCTGCGGGTGAAGATTATTCAAAAATGGTGAAATATCTTGAAAAACACTATAAAAGAGAAGAGAAAGAGTTTGCCATTCAACTTGCCATTTCATCTTTACTCCAATCAATAGGAAAAGAGGCTGAATCTACAGAAATTCAAGTTGGGGTTCTGTCAAAAGACGGCATTGAATATTTGAGCGATCAACAAATCAATGAGGTAATCCAGAATATTGCTGAAAATAATTAAAATTGTGCTGAGCTGCAGTATAAAGTTTAATATTACTATTTGGCTAAAAGACAAAATAGCATTGTAAAGATGAGTATTTATTTAAAAAGAATGGTGTATTTCATTAGCATATTGCTATTTTATTAAAATGTTAAATTAAAGTAGGAGCGAATAAATAAGCATGACGAAGATATATTATTAGGCTAATTAAAGTTTAATATCCGGATTAGAAAGGCCTGGGTCCATGTAAGTGCCCGATTTCTTAGCCTCGCTGTATGACTTACTTAAATATCTAATGGGCAGCACCCAGATAGAACAGAAGAATACAATCACCAATGTTGTTACACCGAAGTAATAACGAGAATCTTGTGCTCCAGTGATTGCAAACATGATAATGCCGTAGAATGAACCAATGGACTTACCAAGCTTAGTAATTGAGCCATCAAATACACCCTTAAAAAGAGGCCTGATGCTAGGATCAATCTTCATAGCAACAAGTTCCTTAACAATATCGAAGAAGGCGTACTTGGCTACTTTCATGAAAGATTGAATGGCAGTACCAGCAATTGCTTCTTCATAAGGATATTTGTTAACAGCATTGTACCAATGGAAAGGCCACATATTGTCTGATCCTGTGGCAGGGAAGTTAGTAATTGAGAACCAGAACTCAACAAGAGATGAGCAAAGGCTGACTGTCAATGGCACAGCGGCAAATGCAGCAATGCCAAACTTATCTGGAAGAAGTGAGATAGGAGAAATGATAATTATGCACGTTGCAATTGACGTACAAATAAGATCCATAGACTTGAACCCAGTAGCGAAGAAAGACTTTTCCCTATCCAGGTATGAAGCCGCTGCCGACATACCACTTGCATTAGCTGTTTCTAAAAGATTAGTGGAAAAGTTGTAGAAGAAAGCAACGGCACACATGGAAAGAAGTAACTTAGAGTTAACCATAAGATAAATGGAATCTCTGAATCCAACTTCTTTTTCTTGGAGGCGGATTTCTTGGGAGCGCCAGAAGGAATAACCACCAAATTGAGAAGCTCCTTTTCAACAATTTTCTTTATGAAAAGGACGAAGACATACAAAGCTATAGCGCAAAATGGAAAAATAAAATAGTATATGTCAGAGTCAGCTTTCGGCTTCTTCTTGTATATATCACTCCAGAATTTGTAGCCAAGACCAGCGAAACATGAACTAATATTAGAGAAGAATAAAAGTGTTCTTACAAACCTCTTATTTTGATTTTCACTTGTATTGTTATTAACGTATGTCATGAAGCAGAAAGATACCATCATAGATCCTATAACCTCTGCAAGGATATAGAATGCAGAGTACACATATTGATTAAGGACAATGCAAAGAGGATAAAATCCATTCAATCCTCTCACTGTCAAGGAATCAGATACGAAGAGCAAATCGCTGAATATGTCATTAGGTTGGATATACTTCGTAGCCATCATAAGCAAAGCATTAATGGCTAAGAAAACGGTGAAGCACATTGTCATAATTCTAAAAGCATTGTTGAAGTCTGTTTTAGAGGATATGTTCTGACAGAAAATGACTAGAAGCTGAGTAACAACAAACGTAAGAAGCTTGAGCCAGTTCTTTGTATCAGTATTGTCTAAAACTGCATATACGACTCTATCCTTGAAGAGCCTTAGAAAAGCGTATGTGAAGGAAATCGTGCAAAACATAATGGCAAAAAGGGTTACTCTTAAGCGCTCCTCTGGAAGGATAGTAAAGAAATAGCCAAGCCAAGATGTTTTCTTAAGCGTATCAGCAGCTACTACAAGCTCCTCCTCGGTCCTTGGTGTGTATTTTTGATTTGTTGAAACTCCCGATTCTACGGGATTTTCTACTTCAGCCATAGTAGGGGCGCAAAGGAGTAAAAATTTTAAAAGTAGCTGGGAAATCACGAGAGAAATTCATAAAAAATAAAGTAAAGTAAGGGAATGAGAGAAAGAGCATGGGTGTCTAGAGGACTGTTTAATTCAAAAGTGTAGTCTACTAATCGTTTTGTTTTCAATAATTTAAAATTTTTTGAAAAATTTTACAATGGATTGCTCCAGAGAATATCTTGAAGATAAGTATATGGCTATTAATCACATTTACTATGGCGTACTTCTGGCAGAGAATGCTCCACTTGAGTATTGGCCTATTTAATGAGTGATAAGTATCTTTTTGATGTGTTTGGCTATAGCTATCGTTTAACTAGAAATGACTGAGTGCATGCGACTTATACAACTTGTAGTATTGTATTGCATCATGACACACTTTTATGTATAAAAGTGGAAAGAAGAAACCAAATGATTTTTTCCCCATGCTTGATAGATATTTCAAAAAGTGTTCAAGTGTAAATCATCAGACAGGCAACGATAACAATAAAAATAATGAACCAATGGGCATTATTAACAGGAGTAACGAGGGATGTTCTAAGTTAGGAGTTGGTACGACTTCCAGGGAGCTAGAAAATATGGATCGAGGATGTTGTCTAGTCAAAGACGAAGACAGTACGAGTAGCTCATGCACAGTTTGTAAGCTTGAGACTTTTGTTGAAAAGGACTGGAAATTTCTGCTTGAAGAAGAGTTTAGAAAGGATTACTTTTTGAAGATAAAGAAAGCTCTTCATTCCACGTCCATTTTCTACCCGCCTATTGAGAAAATATTCAATTTTACACATTTTTCTTCATTTAAGGATATTAAAGTAGTTATCATGGGACAAGATCCATACCATAACCCTGGACAGGCAATGGGTCTTTCATTTTCTGTTCCAAGAGGCATAAAGATACCACCAAGTTTAATTAATATATATCAAGAGCTTTCTAAGGACATTCCTGGATTTGTCGCACCTGGCCACGGCGATCTCACAGAATGGGCAGCACAGGGAGTGCTATTACTGAACGATACTCTAACAGTTGAAAAGAACAAGCCAGCATCACACTCAGAAATTGGATGGAAACGATTTACGAAGAGAATTCTAGAGTTGATTAATACCCGTCTGCAACATGTTGTTTTTATGTTATGGGGTAATCATGCAAGACAAAATGCAAGGTTAATTGATGGTGCCAGACACTTAATTCTTGAGGCTGGCCATCCAAGTCCATTTAGTGTGAAAATGTTTGAAGGATGCAAGCATTTTTCTAAGGCAAATAAGTATTTAAGTAGTCATTTGAGAGGAGCAATCGACTGGAAACTATCCAATTAAATATTTTAATGTGAATGCTGTATGGCTTACAAATTGACTGTTGAACTAGTTTTTGGTCTTATTCAGTCTGCTTGCCTATATTAAGAATAGATGCATTTATTCTAATCAACAAACTAACTAAAACAAATACGACAATGAATAATGCTGGTTAAATATACTATAGTCTATTATACTATGGCTATATTTTTATATAGCCTTTCTTCATTAAAAATTTTTACTCCCAATGCTACGAGAACAGCTCGAAGAACTCCAACGTACAAAAAGAACACTTTTACATACAAAAAACGCACTCATAAGATTTGTACTGGACGAAGATGTTGACTCTCTCACACTTTTCAACAATCTTCCCTTCCCTACTTCTTTCACTACTCAAAAGTCCCTATCCTTTGACAGACATACGCTTTCGGAAAAGGAGGAGAAGCGGTTTAACTCGCGATTCGCACCTTTCTTAAGAAATTTAATTTCCAAGAGCAAGCATCCTGGCATTGACATTCTTCTTGAGTATCTTATGAGGATTTATTGTATAGACACATTTAACCCCCAAGAACTGACATTCTTACTTTTACCATTCAAGAAATACTTTAATCAGCTTCAAATCATAGCTAAGAACACCAAGAATCAGTTTTCAAGTCTCAAATCATATTCAATTTCCAGTATTTCAAGGATAATCGTCAAAGATAAAAGGCTAATGCTAGACTTTGTGAAGTATTTTAACGCCTATGAAGTATTAAAAGAGTTTTTGGACAAGACAATGGACGAAATCATTGACATTTTAAAAGCATCTGATATGGACTATTTAAGTGAGATTTATAAAATTATGGAACTATTAATTCAGCACGGCAATCCATTGAAAGCTTTACAGATATACCACAGAATGAGATCGTACTTGAATACAGATGACTTCATCCTTCTTCTACTGCCCTATTTCCCAAAAGATTTGATAGAAATGAAAGATCATAAAGAAAGTGGCAACAAATATCAGATGATTTTCAACAACAAAGGTGGAAGAAGCCTTCTCAAAAATCAAATTGAAATTTATAGATACTTGGAATATCTTCTGAGCTGTGGATTAATACCTGACGAATTTAATGATAGCGAATACAAAACTTTGCAGCACATATTTTTTGGGAAACCAGTTGATCAGATTGTTGAAGGCATTCATTCCAACAAAGTGGCAGATAATCTAATTGAGTTATTTAAAGAAATTGAGCCAAAGGACGAATTACTAAGTTTTATTGTACGAAATAACATACAAAGGTATTTTGCGGAACACCTCAGCGATAAAGACAAAGTATATTTGATCAGAGAAGCTTTTGACGTCAATTATTTGACACCAAACAACTATAATCTATGCATCATGAATCTGAACAAGGATGTGTTTAAATCAAAATATAATCAAATACTAAACAGATGTCTCCATTTCCGAACATTCAACCCTGTGTATTTTAGCAAATTAATTGACTTTGACTTTAATGAAATTTTCAGCTGCCACTCTCCTCAAGCAAGTACTTACAAGCAGAATGTAATCAAATTATTGGAGAGGAAAAACATTAATCTGTCAGATACTTTTTTTAACAATAATCTCCTCGGAGATTCCTCTGTTTTGTCCTATCTTCTAGAAAATGGCCAATCCTTTTCAGAAGAGCAATTATTTGCTATAATCGAAAACACTAAGATCCTTAAATCGCCTTCCATTGTTGCAAAGTTGCTTTACTACATCCTCAGAAACTTTGAAAAATTATCCTCGCGATTCAACTTTAACGATTTTGTCTCGTGGCTAATCAACAACGATTTTTTATCCACTTTAATCTCAATCATTAATGTATGTACTGAAAATCACTTCAGTAACATTGACACTGACGTGCTCTACATGCTATTTTTAGAAAGTGCAATGTCTAGTTCTGGAGATACATTAATCAGTATCCTGAAAATTCTAAGTCAAAGAGGATTTAATGTAGTTGGTAGGCTCTACGACTCAAAAAACTATGAAATCATCTTAAAGATTGCAAACCTAACTGAGTTGTCAAATGTTTTAACTTCACATGTAAATACTCCTGATTTTATCAAAAATTACTACGGTAGAATATCAGATCAGCATGCTTTAGTGGCGTTTGTAATCAGTAATAGTCAACATCGAAACTATCTGTTCCTACTTGCTTACTTTATTGATATTTTGATTACTTTTAGAACCCATCATTCATGGAATGTTGTTAAGCTTGTTCTTATTGAATGTCTATCAGAGAAGCGTCAACTTCAGAAAGCTCTTGAGTATGTTCTTTCACATTTTGATTTATTTGATGATTCTGACGGTGATCTTTTTCAAAAGATTTTTTCAGGGGATGTAGTTTTCGATATTAAACGTATCGAGACTATTTTGTGTCACGAATCGGCGGCAGCTACCTTGATTCATTCTTGCCTTCTACTAAGTAAAGATGCTGAGATGCTTCCGATCTTGCCTCATATTGTGCCATTACTGATTAAATACAAGAAAGACACTGTTATTCAGTTATTCAAAAGATACGGGAATGTTATGGTAACGTACATTAAAGATATCCTACAACATTACCCTGAAATTAGCCACATTTTATTAGATCTTGAGCCTAAATTTGTACTAAAAGAGCTATGCAGTTCTCTTACCATTCAGAACATTGATATTCTTCTCAAGATTCTCAAAACCAAAACATGCTGTAGTAGTGATGTGTTTAAACGACTTTGTGCATGTTTTAACAAGCATGTTGGATCGTTAATTACTTCTGAACATATTTTAGCATTGATAAGGTTTTTCAAAAATTCACGTAGTAGTGACTATATGGCTGGAAGCATGCTCAAGGAAGTAGAAAGCGCTCTTTCTGATTTTCTGGTAAATGTTTATATTGCCAATTCAACGATATTTTATGAAACAATGCTTGATGGAGTGGGTATGTCTTCATCGCTATTTGCTGATTCAGCGAATTTGACTTTGCAAAACATATCTGGCGAAGTTTTCGAAACAAATAAGAACATTTCAAACGATCTGAAATTCCTGTGCCATTTTTTAGAATATAACCATATCACAACTGAAAATACAATGGCGCTTTATGAGCAGGTTTTTAATGCCAGGAATTGTCTATCTCCAAGGTTAATCTCGTATCTTATCAGGGATGACAGTCAGGTACTTGGGGAGTGTATCGGCCATCTTCTTTCACATATCAACAATGATTTAGACACAATATACATTTTAGAAATACTCTCCCACATTTTCAGCAATGTCCCTGAGAGTAAAGAATTCAAAAATAAGATACTTCCTTGCATTTTTGTGTTGAGTGAAGATGAAAACAGGCTAGTCTCTGAAAAAGCAAGACAGATCATAGAGACACTGCAGTAAGCAGCATCTCCGTTCAGTACATGGATTGTTCGAGTAGATATTTGTGCTGGCAAAATTATATAATTAAAATGACTTATTTTGAGGGAAGCTTTTTATATTAAAAGTTAAATTTAATCCATGTCCTGGGATGCAATCGCATTGGGATATCTAAAGATTACTGATAGTATCAGTGCTAGTAGAAAGACTGAGACTAACACTGTTGGCCCTACTAAATCATCATACGGGCCAGGGAACCTTATCCTAATCTTCTCGGCTCTCCACTTATAAATATAAAAGGCATAGAAAATGAATAAAAGTGCAACTATCATCAGCATACTACCACACCAAGCAGCATTATTATCACCTAGTCCAAGAATGGCAGTGCCAACACCCCCAAGAAAGATAGAAAACTGCACCCACTTCAAAAATGTCCTTTCGTTTGCAAAGAATATTTTTGGTTCCACTCTTATTGGTATGGCTATTTTCTTGCCATGGCTTTCAATAAGACTTAGGTTCTCACTGCTATTTTCTTTAGCTTCAGATTGTGTCAGAAGAACATTGTTCTGCATTATCTTCAGCTCTTTTATTGGATGAAATGGATCTTTTCTTATGTCTGTCCCCATCTGAGGCAGCCAATATGGAATGACCTCAATCTGCTTATACAAAAGTGCGCTTCCATGCATAAACTTTGAGTATTTATGGACATGTTCAACATAACTACTATTTACAACGTCCTCAATCCATGCTGGCTTCCTTTCGTCTACACCCTGTGTCTTAACTTCGAGAATGGCGTATGGAAATCTGATAATATCCTCTTTTGGAAGATGTTTGAATGGCCATTCACAAACTGCATCCGGTCTTTTCCATTGCTTGATAATGTCATCATCTTTTTCATCTGCCTTTCTTTCTCTTATCATTACTAGATTTGTATCCAGACTTATTCTTACTGTGGAGTCGTTAGGCAGCTGGAATGCTGTTCTTTTGTAAAATGTCCTAACAGATGGTCTTAACTTTTTACTAACTATTGCTGTCTGAATGTCTTTGTATAAGTCAAACACTTCACTACCGTTTAACATTTTTACATGCTCCCATACGTTTTTGCCGTTCAAAAAGTCAACGACATATTTCTCAGGAATTTTGAATCTAAGCTTCTTTGAAGGAAAACCTGTCCAGTTATCTTCATGTCTCTTTCTCTCAACAAATACCACATTAGGTACAGCAGACCCGTACCATCTGATTCTTATTGCTTCTGAACCTTGATTTTTGTATAGCCTTTCCATATACAGTTCGAAGTTGGAATTATCGAGATACACACTGGATACACATGTGTCATGAAGTTTATGGTCCCATGCACTGTATGGTGTTGCATCCGGATCTGGATTGGGGTTGTAAACATACACAGGAAGATTTTTTACTATTTTCAATTTTAAAGCATATAAGTTTTCCGGATGAACCCAGTATTTGCACGTCTTTCTCACAAATGTTGTGCCATTTTCCTTTTCTTTCTTAACCTCAAGCGTCTTCAATTTTAATCTACTTGCACTGTACATTAGTTTATTTAGTCCATCGATTTCATCTAATCTTGTCTTGAATACTTTTCTATACTCTGGCACGAGAGTATATCCTGTTTTTTTGTCATGTTTAAGAAGAACAGTCTTGAATCCTTCAATATTAATTCTTATGAACTCAGAGAATGCTGCCATCTCATCCTGTGCTTCCGTCAGCTCTTTCAATCCTTTATTATTGCCAATCAAATCCTCAATTGAATACATTCTACACTCCAATTCTTCATGTTTAAAGCGGATAAAGTAGAATACACGATCAAGCTCAGATTCAAACACTTTTCTGAAGCTGTCCTCCTGATTTTGAGAAAATCCGGGTTTTATCATAGCCATTAATTCATCAAATTTCAAATACTTATCTGCATATGGCTGATACCTGTTCTTTTCCAAGTATTTCTTGAAACGCATCTCGCAAATGGAGTCTGAGTTTTTATCAATGGTTTAGCTTTGAAACGCTTCAATTGACACGTTTTAAGATTGTATCATTTTGCAAAACAGTGTTAAGCTGTAACGGTAGAAATAAAAAGACATGTTGAAAAACCTAAAAACTCGATAGCTGAAGTCATTTATATGAAAATATCTGGTGTGGTGAGAATCTAAGTTTGTTGGCCGTGTTGCAGTTCAATTAATTTGATGTTACCAGCTAGAGCCAAATCAGTACCGATATAATATCAAGAACAAAGAAAAATATCTGAAGTTATTATACAGCTTTACGTTCCCTGACAATGGTCATATTTTTTAGAATAAAAGCTACCTCCTTCCAGAAATGCAACGGAAGGCAACCTTATTGTTAAAAATAATTGCCAAGGAACTATTTTAAACACAAATAGTTTTTCATAGCCGTCGCTACATATTTTGTTGTTATACTCATACTGCCTCCTGATTTTAGCTGCATTATTTGAGTGAAAGATTGATTTAGAACAAGTATCTTTTGCTTTCAAGCTTATGTGCCAAGATCGCAAGTAATTGGCTGCTTTTGGCTATAAAGTATATTTTTAAGTCAAAAGGCGTAGAAAATGAATTTATTACTCTTAGTCATAGTCGACCTCTAGCTTTGATGCTGTCCAGAAAAGTACTAGCAAGAGCAGATCAACGATGAATAACAGTATTGCAACTCCCATCAAATATGTTTTATATTGCTCAATGCCACCTTTTTCTTGTAAAACCGACGAGCAGATCGTTAAGGCAGTATCGACTTTGGTTTTAAACGTAGGAAAATCCAGTTCCAGTCTTAACTTGTGAATCACGGTTTTCATAGCCACATCCTTTATTTCCACCTTATCAGCAAGTTTTTTGCCACTCAAAAGTTCTAAGATGCCAGTAGTTACTATAATGTATTGTTTCATTATATCTTTTGATTCCTTCTCAAGTCTCTCATATTCCTCCAGTAATCCCTCCACACTGACATTTTCGTCTATCTCAAAGGTTGACAATACTAATGACCAAAATGTATTTTCTAGTAGACCTTTTGTTGTGAGTTCAGAATCTCCTCCAATATAGCTCTCAGGTTCTTTAATTCCATCCTCTAAATCAGGCCAAATATCGTCAATGATTGTTTTAGAAAGCTCATCGTCTGAAATACTTGGATTCTTTGATCTGCCTTCTTTGATTATATCCGCTACTCTATTAGATGTTGTTTTTTCATGCATATAGCGAAAAGTTTTGTGGCACAAATCCTTATTAAATTTAACATTATCTGATTTTGCAATACCTAGTAGATCATGGAACAGCACGGAGATATTGTCTGCAATTTCAAGATCACTCAGAGTTTTAATAAATTGGTTCTTGGCTTGCACTTGCAATTCTCCACCTGTTTTTGAAGACTCAATATTTAAAAGTATAAAATATGTGCAAAACAGTCTGCATATTGCAAGTACATGTCTATTTGCATATGCAGAATCTAAACTACTTGTCAAAGCATCTAAACCAGCTTTATCAAGAGTTGCATCCGATTCTTCTACAACTGGCGTGGGAGATGACTTTATCCATCCTAAACTAACCAACGATGAGTATATTGCCTCTCCCCAACTACTTGGGGAACATCTGTAATAAATTTAATGTTCTCCAATCTTTTTTTATTCCCCATTCCAATATATTTTTGTACTTGCTCACATGCTGCTTTCATATCTGTAAAAAGTTGGTCAATGTTCTTTTTTATGTCATTAAACGTTTCTCCACCAACACCTAGGCTTTTGAAATCGCTAATGATAGCATCATGAAGAAGAGTAAAGAATTTATCAATATTATCTGCATCGCAGAAACGATTAGCTAGAGCAAGAATTAGATTGCAAACGTTCAATCTGTCTTTTGCATCTTTGCTAAAGTTTGCTAAGGAAGGATCATTTTTTGGATCATGTGTGAGAATTTCTTTAAACAAAACACCTGTTTTTAATAATTCTTCAAAATGTGCTTTAACGACAGATAAATCTTCTGTGAAGTCGATGTTTTGGATCTCAGCTGTTGATCTACACCGTCTCTTCATAATGTTCAGCAATGGATCAACTTTGTTTTGAAAGTCAATGTATCCCCATTCATTCATGCATTCTTCTTCACAAAAATGGTCATAAATATTGTCTATCTTTGTCTTATATACTTTATACTCATTATAAAATTTCCTTAATGCCGATTCTTGCTGTGGTTGTCCAGTTGCATGCAGCAGTAACAAGTTAGTGAAAACAATAACTTGTGATAACACACCCCGTTTCATGTTGAGGGGTCTGCTCAAATCTGCATATATACCTTTAAAGGAGTAGTCCCCTTTAAAATTAAATCTAATATACTCAAAAGCGTGACAGTTGACAGTTTGCTAAAGGGAATATTCAATGGTATTGATTGCAGAGATGAAAAATTTAATCACACTGGCATTTACTAGTAGAAAATTTAACAGGATTGAATAGTTTTAGCTTGCATTCAACAGTGTTTATCATTCCTAGCATCTGTCAAACGTCTTGTAGAGATCTTTCAAATCACTCATTAAAGACAACGTGTCTATTATTTCCATCGTTGCTATTGTTTCGGCTTTAATCTTGTTAAAAAGTTTGATGTCGACCTTGGCTTT